GAGAGAGAGAGAGAGAGAGAGAGAGAGAGAGAGAGAGAGACCGAACCAAGAGCAAGCTACGCTGACCAGGCGACCATTGTTACGCATGGACAGTTAAGGGATTTTTTCTAAGATGTTACTGTGTGGCTAAACAGAGATGGAGAATGTAAAATACTACCTATCTCTGTCTTTGTACATGTTTTCTTTCGCAACAACAGAACGAGAGACCCTGCAAGCATTACAGGAACGTCTGAGGGAGCAATCTTAAGGCTTGTTTCGCACCTCATGGCCCCATGGTGGGCTTGTCATGCTGACGGATGACTGCAATTTAAGCATACAAGTTACTTTTTTTTCAAGAAAGAGGCCTTTACAGTAAACTTTATATCTATTATACCTGCTTTTTCTTTCTTTCTTAAAAAAAATAAATTACAAAACAAACAAAAAATAACGAATAAACAAAAAATTAGGGCGGGTGTGCACTGCCAGTGTACAATGTATATCGATTGGAAACAGCATTTTCTAAAGTGTCAATAGAACTGTTACTTCTAGAAAAATGGAGAAGCGAAAAATGAACGCTTCGGGTTTTTTAATGCAGATTTTTGTCATATGTAGAGCTGTTTGTTTTTATTTTATTCGTTTTAAAGGATGAAAAGGGGAAAAGGGGAGGGGTATCGGTGCAGGAAATTAGAGATATTTTGTGCTTGTCTTTTTGCTGTCCTTCTGATATGAGAGCTCACTCAAGTCGGCTGCTCCTGGCCAGTGTTGTTATACGGGGTGCCCATGGGGAATCGGGTTTGGTCAGGTCGGTTTGCTAGCCAGATTGAGGGCGCAAAGCGGCTATTGCGGTACAAGCAGATCGCGCTCGACTCATCGCCTAAAAAACAAACGCGTTTGTTTTCAGGCGACGAGTCGGGTGATCGATCCGACCCGACCCCACCCGATCCCATCCGCAATGGGCATTCTTACTCGTCCTTCGGAACGGCACGCGAACCGTCAGAGAGTGCAAAACTGGCGAACAGACAGAGAGGCAAGCAGATGAATAAAGCAGGCAGACAGACTGACACAGTGTTGCCATTCAGATTTTTAAGAGACTGCTAAATTTGGGAAAAAATTCCACTAAATGGGACGAAAAAAAACCCAAAAAGTTTTTAGCTGCCGTATATTACATATTTATTCCTTTTTCTTTTTTTTTTTTTTTAAACTGTAATAGCTGGTTCTTTATTTCTGACCAGTCAAACATATTCATAATATATAGGCCTATTGTACATCTACGATTCTTGATAATCTTGAGACAGGCCAGATTTTAGACTGTTCTTGGACTATTGTCATCATTTTCCCATTTATTTATTTAATTATTTTTGGTTTATAACGTTCAACAAAATTCTTTAATCGATTTTAAATGATTGTTGTAAGTAAAACACATCAAAACAAAAACCACTAAATGTGCTGCAAAAAAAACAAAAAAACAACTAAATCGACCCAAAAAGCACTAAATTTAGTGGTAAAAAACTAAGAATGGCAACACTGGACTGACAGGCGGGCAGGCACAGGCTTGGATACTGGCTAGCAGACAGGCAGACGGATCTTGGGTAGGGGGGCAGACAATAGAAGACAGACGGGCAGATTGAGAGACTGACAGACTGGCACAGAATATACTAAGCACATAAACAGGGAAACGTGCCGAGGAAGATGGACAGACGGGCAGACAGACTGACCCAGCCAGCGGGACGCACAGACAGACAACGATTATAGGGAGACAGAGAGAAAGTCACACGCGGTCACAGGCAGAGTAGTGGAAGACAAGACACGAGAAGACTGGCAGCGAGACATATAT